AATAGCATACTAAATATGAAAAGAAATATAGTAAATTTAAGTCAATGAAGTTCTAAAATGAAATTTGTAAGAATGATCCAATGAATTGTAATTACAATGTTTAAAACAAAATGTATATGAATGAAAAAACTTATATGCTCTGTAAAGTCTCACTCAAATAAAATAAATAAAAGGTGAGGAAAAAGCAGCACTCCTAGCATTAAGAATAAAAAGAAAATTACTGTAGTAAATTTGCATGAGCCCATTATCCAGTTCTAACAAATAACAATTTATGGTTTATCTATTTAATCTATACCCCACACACTTCTCCAGCCAATGGATTGTTTCAGTGATATACTATACGTGCGTAGATTTTCACAGTGTAATGCTAAATTAAAAGGGGTTTTGAAATACATTTTAAAAAGTCATTATAACATCTTATAATGTTAACAGTAATTCTTTTTTCTTGTAACTCCCCTCCCACAGATAGTTAATCAAGAGAGATATAATGTCTGTACACTGCAATAAGGTTGCATACCTCCTAAATCATCTTTGATATATGTTCTTCTTCCTTCCCTTTTCTTAAATTTTCCTTGCAACTTAATTATTAAAGAAATAAGGTTGTTCATTCTGTGTAGTTTCTAACAATCTTTCTCTGGTTGATTGCATGGGCTAAAGAATTTGTTTAAATCTGTATTTGAATTTTGTAAATAAACTAGTAGAAAAAGAAAAAAAACCCCAAACCTATGAGACCAAGGAGAAAGGCCTTAGTAAAGAGATCACGAGTACCTTGGTTGTATTGTTGATGGCTAAAGGAAGCTAGTGGCCACCAAACATGTCACAGACAGACTAAATATTATTAAGTTTCTGATCTCAGTATTTCTAGAGCACTGCTCTACTTCAGAAATCTCAGAAACAACCCAAAGGCCTTTTCCATTGGAATGGACTGTGGAGTGGCATAATTCTACAAAGTACAATCTTGGCATAGAATTATAATCTATTTGGCCAGTTTCATTAGAAATGGTGATTTTTTAGGAATATAGATGGAACATCTTTTCACACTTGATTGAAACTTAATTATTCAAGATACTTATTTCAAATATGTAGTTTATGATACCTGCAACCTACCAAAAAATATAAGGATTTATACTAGCTGGCCAAGGCATTCTTTAACTGTGATTGAAAATGAAGCCAGAGCCCTTCTGGATTTTGATCACTGATAAGTTTTCCTTGGGACTCTGAACCCCATTGCACAAATCTCCCCAGAGCACACTTACTGCAGGCTGTTCAGGACGCAGCTCTGCTGCTTGAGAACTTCACAGAGAAGCATGACGCCCAGGTCGCCGAGGTCATTGTTGCTGAGGCTGAGCTCTTGGAGGCTCTGGTTAGAGGTCAGAAGGGTGGACAGATCCCAGCAGCAATGGGAAGTGAGGCTGCAGTTATCTAATCTGCAAAAGAAGATCATGAGATAAGGAAAATGTCACAGTAACTCTCCTCTCAGGTTTGCAGATCCTAGCATGCAAAGTTTAAACACCAATGGTGTTTTTAACATTTTATGGGACACTCATGTGTCAATTATTGTTTTTCTCTCCTTTTCAGATGAGAGCTTTTTGCCCAAGTCTATTTAATTCCATATATCAAATTAGTTAAGGTAATTTGTGAATTTGTTTCTCCCCAAAATTTGTCTATCTCCCAAAATTCCTTGAAACACAAATCTCATATTATACCATTCTTTTATGGCGTGAAAAAAAAAAGTTTGTCTTTACGCAATCTAGTAGTAAAATTGCTCAATGTCCTGTCATCCTCTAATAAGGCAAACTCTTGAGAGAGACTATTGTTTTTCAGATATAGATTATGTAGCTGCTGTTCTCCCATACTTCCCTCCACTGTCAATTACTACACATCTTCAGAATCTTAACAAGCCAAAGAACTTACTCCAGCATTTGAAGCTTGCAGTTGGGGTTCATGAGTCCCTCACAGAGTAGTTTTATCCCATTGTCTCCTAGAGCATTGTCTCTTAGGTAAAGGTGTGTGAGGTTCTTGTTAGTGCTGAGGGCCAAGGACAGAGCCGGACAACCAACTGATGTGAGGCCAGAATTCACCAGTCTGTCAGAGGATCAGAGGGAAGAGTCTTCAGTATTCAGTCTTTCTTGAGAAGACAACTGCTTTTATGGAAATTTATTCAAGAAAGACACCCTAAGTTACTCATAATCAGAACATTTCAGAGTGATCTTTTATTTGATTCTTAACATGGCAAGGTAAGAAGTACAGTTATAACTATCAGGTACCATTAGAAGTCAGAGACTTATGATATCAAATCTCATTCTCAAGGTCACAGATCCAGCATCAGGTGGAGAGAAGTGAGGAAGTGTGAAAGGGCAGGCTGGGTTTTTGTAAATAAAGACAATTCAAGGTGACTCAGTATAGAGTGCCCTGTTCAGTAGGAGCAAAGGCAGGAGTATCCCCCTCTTGGGCTGGTTCAGGGAGATTTTTTTGTGCTAAACTACCATACACGAGCTTCACTCTGACTACAGAGAAGAATTTTGGAGAGTTTTTGAACAAAGGCTTAATGTCAACTTTGCAGTTCAGAGATTGTGCTGGTACTATATAATATCTATATCTATCTATCTCTATCTCTATCTCTATCTATATATCTGAATATATATATATATGAATATATGAAGGAATCGAAAGTGAAGAGAATAAGGAATTTAGAATTATCCCTGAGCTGCTTTTAGGAAACCTTCTGGAAAGTCCCACTATTGAACAAAGCAGGAAGAAGAGAGTAGGAGTAGGCCAAAGGACGTGGTGGCTTAGCAGGTTACAAGAACTAAACCAGTGTTAGAAATGCTCCCCTGGTTGTACTTGTGTAATAGTTGGGAAGAAGCAGCATGTATACTATGCAGCCAGAAGAAAGGGTCTAAAGTGCAAGACAAGAAAAATTGGCTCTATTTAACAAATTTTAAAATGCCTAACAGTTTTCACTCAGTGGTTGTCTTATAGTTATCTGTCCTAAAATTCCCCATATACACATATAGTTGCATAAACAAACATGCTTATTGCACTATTTTTGTAATAGTGAAAAGACAGAAATCCACTCAAAACTTTATCATTTGATGCATGGCTGGAAAAATTATGGTGCATACAATAGCGTAGGGAGAACTGGTGGCTTAGCGGTGAGGAGTGGTGCTGACAAACCACAGGCAGGCTGTCGGAATCTGCCAGCCACTCTGAGGGAGAAAGACGGGCAGTCTCTTTCTGTGCAAAAACCCACTTGGGGGGTTGGCTATGAATTAGTTCTGACTCAGTGATACAAAAGTACAGCAATAACAACAATAACAAAATAACAACTCCTCACCCCCCAAAACCTCCTACAGCATCAACAACAACATCATACATAGAGAACAACATGGAAATTTGTTGTTGTTATAGGCAGTTGAGTCACCTGCAACTCATAGCAACCCCTATATACAGTTCTGAAGCCTGCCCTGTCCTGAGCCAGTCTCATTGATAAATCCGTGATAAATGAAAAGAGTAAACCAAAAGGAAGTATTTATAGTGGGATTCCAGGTTTGATAAACAATGTGTGTAGATGAATGGGTAAATGAGTGGCTAGATAATGGGAATGAGTGTTCTATATTTCAAAATGTCTGGAAGTTTGCTTATCAAACTATTAAAATAAAATTATTCTTTTTTTAAAATTCATTTTAATGAAAGTTTACAGAGACTTAGGGTTTCCATTCATTCATTGTTGCACTTCAAATTCTTTCTCAGAAGCACTGAGAAGCTATTTTTACTTTGTACTTCATGTAACTGTAGTTACCTATATATAGGCTATACCTTTAATATAGGTAGTATAGTTAATATAGATGACTACGCATATTTAGGCTCTTGCTGACACTAAAGGGTATATGATCCATTCCAAGGAGTATAGAAAACAATAAAGCTAGTGGTGACCACCATAAGAGACTCCACCAGGCAGCCCAGAGAGTAGGAAGCTATAAAATTGGGCAGAAAAATTGAATGGAAAGATAAGAAGAAAAGATTTCAAGGAGTAGGTGATAAAAAGGATTATAGGAAACAGATACTAAGTTAAAGAGTGAGAAAGACTTACAGGATCTGAGCCAGGGTCACTGAGCAAAAAGAGGGTGTGTGCCTGTGTAGTCAATTAAGAGATTCTATGCACTCGGCTACTTCACTTCTGTTTTCTGCCTAGAGTGGTTTTCCTCTGGCTCCTTCATGGTATGTAGCCTTACTTCATTTAGTGCCTAGTCAAATGTCACCTGCTCAAGAAGCATTTCTCATGGTCAAAGTAGCAATGTGTACTATCGGTGAATTTTTTCTGGTTTACTGGACTGTTGTCTGTCACTGTCTGTAAGAATGTTGCTACAATGCACACCCATGTTAATGGAGGCTTTTTTCACAATAACAAAGAATTGGAAACAACCTAAGTGCCCACCAATGAACGAATAGACAGATAAGCTGTGATATATTCACACAATTCAATACTATGCAGCATTGAAAAACAAGGAACTCATGAAATATTACACAAAATGGGTGACCCTAGAGGACATTATGATGAGTGAAATATCTCAGTCACAAAAGGAAAAATATTGCATAGGGCCACTGTTGTAAAATGGGACTGACATCAGGGTTGAGAGGACACTGAGAAAGAGGGGATAAACAATGTATACTGCATTGAAATAGATGAGGGAGAGAATTGTTTAAAAGGGATATATGATTAGGTATTATTGTCATGACAGGAGTGCAGAATGAAGATTACATATTGGAGTGAACTTGAGGGGAAGGATTGTATAACAATGAAACAATTTTTCTTTTACTTTTCAAAGAGAAGAATGAACTGGAGGGAAGGGGTGGGCAGGGAAAAAATGCAACAGTGAATGAATGGAAATAAAAAAATCTCTGTACACTTTCATTAAATATAACAACAACAACAACAACAGTAATATTGCTACAAACAGTGTTTTGGAATATTTTACTCACTGTTCTCATCAACATGCACAACATATCCCCTGACAAGGCAGCCTAGCAAGAAGCACGTAATGGGATAAATTCACATCTTTTGAACCTACTGAGTACAGCAGAAAACAAAACAAAACAAAACAATTCACCACACACACAAAACTTGCACATACACAAAAACTTGCTGAGGGAGATAATAATAGAAGATGAGGAAGTGAGGCAATAGATTTTTTTCCTAGAAACTTGTCTATGGTAAACAAATATAGTAATATCTGGGCAGGGCAAGCACAAGAAATATCAGAGTTTTTAGAACTTTGTTGTTAAGTGTCGTTGAGTATGACTCATCGTGACCCTGTGAACAACAGATTAGAACTCTGTCCTATTCTGTGCCATCCTTATCCCCTTGACACATCTGAGTCCATTGCCACAGGCACTGCATCACTTCATTTGGTTGAGGGGCTTCTTCTTTGACTCTCCACATTCCCAAGCCTGATGTCCTTTTCCAAGGATAAGCCTCTTCTAACAATATGATCAAAATATGTGAGATGCATCTTCAACCATCTTTATCTCCAAGGAACACTCTGGTTGTCTTTTCTCCATGATAGATCTATTTGCTCTTTCTACAGTCCATATTCAGAACATAAAGATTGAATTGTAGAGTAGGGAGCTCTGGTGGCCTGACCATAAAGAACTACACTGCTAACCCAAAGAAAGTGCATCGTTGGCCATTCAAATCCACTAGAAACTTCACAGGGTAGGGGAAAAAACATAGAAAATTTTCTTCTGTGGGATTTATAGTCTTGGAAACCTCCTGAAGGGTCAGGCCCAATCTCACAGCAATGAGAAAGAGCTATGGAATAATGGATTATTCCTCATATCCCTCTTACTGTATTTTACCTTTAATTACAGTCTGGCTAGCATAAAAGCCAATACTGTGAGTGAAGTGATATGCAATTTGTTTCTTGTATTTAAGAACTGAGTTCTGGTAGTGTGGTCCCTATGGGGTTGTACTATTAACCAAAATCTGGTGCCTCTCTGACAGAATCTACCTGTGGCTCTATAGGAGAAAGATGGGCAATATCTTCATGTAGAATTTATAGCTTCTAAAAACTTAATGGAGTGTCAGCAGTGAGTTGTCTCTGACACTCAATGGCAATGAGCTTGAGTTTTCTTGTATTCAGAGACAGAATAAACTGGGTTGTGATCCAAATTACCTAAACAGTAGGTTAAAGAAATACAACTCATTGCCATCAAGTCAGGACTGACTTATAACTAACCTTCCAATGAATTTCTGGAGGCTGTAAATCAATCAGGAGGATATTGTCTTTCTTTCATGGAGCAGCTGGCAAATTTAAACCTACAGCCCTGGATTTGTAGCTCTGATATTTAACAAAGTGAGGTTCTACACTTGGATATAAAATAATAAGAAGATATCTAGTAGAGCAACAATAAACTATCAAACAGTACAAGGAGGTCTGGTGGCCTAGTGGCAAGAAGCTGAGCTGTAATCCTGAAGGCACGTGGTTCAAAGCCACCAGTTGTTCCATGGAAGAAGGATGAGCAATTTCCTCCCATGTGATTAACTGCCTCTGAAAACCCACCAGATGGGTCAGTGTGGGTTGGTTCTGACTCGATGGTACACAACAAAAACAACAGGTATTGAGCGAAACATATTGTATTGGGCATAACTTCTCAAAAGACTACTATACAGTTTCAAAAAGCAAAGATTACAAAACATTACTACAAGAAACAAAAAGAGATCTTGAAAAGTGGAAGAATATCCCTTGCTCATGGATAGGAAGACTCAATGTTGTGAA